AGGTAGTGTCATCGCCGAAGCGCAACGGTGCCACCATGCTGGAATTCTTAAACTGATCGGAAAAAGTTTTTAACACCAATTTTGAATTTTTTAGGGTATTTCTACTTACTTGAAGTGTGTTTTAATCCCCAAAGAAAAATTTAGGAAACTCGGGAACCACCAGTAGGCACAGCTAAAAGTTTAGTATTTCAAAAACTGATTCGAGTAAGAATCTCTCACTTTATTCCTTGTTATAGAATTGAAATTTAATTATAAATAATACAATATTTTGCGTAATTTAAAATTTTTTAATAATTAATTACAGGTTACTAATAGAGTGAGAACCGGTTATTTATCACTGTTTATCTTATTTTAACTTATTGATTGATTTTATAGTTTTAAATGCATAATAATACACTGGAGTTAGTAAGATGGTTCAGTTATGCTTCCTTGATGCATGTATTGCTTGTTTTGCGTGATTTATAGTTAAATTATGAAACTGAAAATTGAATGTAAACAAAGAATTGTTTGATTTAGTGAATGAATGAATGGTAATCTTACTGGATATCCTGAGAGATGGTGGATAAACCGGGTACACAGAGAACTCTACCGTGAACGTTGCCTCACACCGGACGGGGTATCGAGAATTTGTATTTTGGTGCTCATACTGGATGAGGTATGAGGACAGCTCGTTTCACTCTGATACCGAACGGGGTATTGAAGGATGATATTTTTTGCACTCATACCGGATGGGTATGGGGACGGCCGATTAGTTGACAATGTTGAATAAGGGTTCACGCATAGTGAGAACATCTCTATGGACCCCATGGATACCAGTAGGCAGATAAAAAGAGAAAATTGTTGTTCTGATTAATTGAATATGAGATTATGATGTTGTTCGTGTTATTACCTCTATAGTTCGGTTTTGAAAATCTTGCTACAGTAAGTATGAAATAAATAATTTTATTGATGATAAATTATTTTACTTAAATTAAGAGCTCAATTAGTGATTTTTATGATTTTTACTAACCTTCATTTCTGTATCGGTGAGTAGTGTGACATTCTTACTGAACTAGTGTAGCTCACTCTTTCATTAACTATTTCAGATTAAGAGGACCAAGATCCAAATCCTAATCCACAAAGGGTTGCGAATATGATGCCTAATTGTTTACTTTTCATTTGTTTCTTTGATTTTTCTTTTATTCTTTTAGAATGGTCATTCTCATAGCCCTATTGGGTATTCTATATTATTATGTAAG